CTTTATTGTCTCATACTTTGCCAACTGTATATTTATAGAATACTCAATAAAATTATTGATTCAAGTAGTAATCTTTACATTGTTTGCTTCTCATGCATCTATCAAAATAACATCCCCCTCTTAGTTTTCTTGGGTATCATATAAGTTCCACTAATATATCCCCACATCTTCTTATCCTTAAGGAAATTTCTCATTACATAACTCTAATATAAATAATTATTTCTATCCAACCTCACACTTACAGATCGAAGTGAATTATCTCTTTCGGTAGCCATAATTAAGAAAGAAAAAAAAAGAAGTAGAACGTAAAAGAAATGAAAGATAAAGTATCGGATTGCAAAAACTGAACAGATATCATAGAAACTAACACAAATATCTTCTCAAAATTATACAATTACTCCAAAACGCAACCTAAATTACAAAAACTGAATGCAAATATCAAATTGTAGAAGCTGAAGGAAAGACGAAATACCAGATTTAGTTGGATCTGCGAAAGCTATGCTCGAGATTAAGCTTTATTCCATAAAATCAACTTTGATACATTGTTGAATTAGTTCGATTAATATAAAAGAAAAACAAATATAAAAAAGAGGTTAGAATTCTTATTAATCTATTTATTTTAAAGTGTTTGAATTAACCTAAATACAAAGAGATTATATATAGATTAAACTTAAAATATTATTCTATCATTAATAAATAAAATAATATTAGATGTATTATTTAACAGGATTTTGAAATAGAAATTCAAATAATTGTATGGGGAAGAATAAGGCATTTAGGGTTGGCTATGTATAGAAAATAGGGATATTATAATATTAATAATAAATTTATAAAATATGATAAATTGTGTGTTTATGAGATAAATGTATGAAAAAAAATTGTGTAATTTCATATTTGAGTATCTAGTTAATAACCCTTGTACTTGGACATATATAAATAGTTGTATAAGATGAAGTTGGGAAAGTAAAAGATATTTTTTTGAGGCATTAGAGAGTTAACATGTATAATTGAAAACCATAGACAATTATGCAAGATTCTAACATTATGACATTGTGTATCTTATTCTATTTGAATTTCAAGGACATATGCTTCCACGTAACTTCTTTACACACACACACATATCAAATAACATGAGATACAAATATAAGTTATGAAAAATAAATATTGAAATTATACGTGTTAAATTAAAGAAAGTTCATGTAAAAAAATTATGTGAAAAGGTTTAGATTTCATGAATATCAATTTAAAATAAATGTAGGAGATATTAATAATGATACTTTTTTCTGGAATTAGGAGAGGCATATGGGGTAGCATCTTTTGTAGTTTAAGGAGTGTATTTAGTAGGAGATACAGATAAGTGCTTATGCACTATATTCTCTTAATTTATTATATTTATTTCTTCTTAATTAACTATGTGTAATGTGTGATACATTAAAAAAGTGAAACATAAAAGGGTATTTTAAAGTGAGAAAACAATTGTATAGGAACTGAGTAACAAGTAGGAATGTTGAGAAGAAAAATGTGTGGTGATAAATGATTGAGTAGTCTACCAACAAGAACGATGACCAATGATTCAGTAGTTTATCATCTCAAATAGAAATCATTGATACAAATAGTTCATCTTCTTAGACACTTAAACATAATTACAGATACTTAGATGTGAATATATAATTTGTAGTGAGGATATAATTATGACTACTTAATAAGCAAAGTATTAAATGATAACATCTTCAATTAACAAAGTATTGATGTTGGTTAGGATTAAAGGATCTTAATGAAGTCAATTAATCTTATTAAGGATTGAGAATTTTAATAATAGCACTTGTGTTGGGATGAGTAACATTATTGTTTTAGGTGGGGGTGTAATTATGCCATGAAGGTAGCAAAAAATAGCTTGATCTTGGAAGTAGGGTAGGGTTGGAGCTTTCCATATATAATAGTCGAAGGAATTATATTTGATATTGATAATAAATAAAAGATTGAGCAGGGTCAATAGAATTATTAGAAGTAAAGGAGGCCATTTACAATTGAAAAAGATATTGATTGTAAGTTAAAGATTGCAAAGGGCTAGGAGATGAGGATAAAGAGGTCATTTATAATAAAAGAGAGAGAGAGAGAGAGTAGATAATAATGGTCTTCTAATGGATCGCTCATATACCATGTAGAAAGTATTAACTTTTGTAAAGATATAAAATGTTTGAACTTCTAATGGATCGCTCAAATACCATGTAGAAAGTATTAACTTTTGTAAAGATATAAAATGTTTGAACTTCTAATGGATCGCTCAAATACCATGTAGAAAGTATTAAGTTTTGTAAAAATATAAAATGTTTGATCGAGTTATACTTACATAAAGATTTCAGATAAAACATAACTCCAACTATTATCTTTTTTAGTTATCTGTACATAGTATGAATTAAAATTTAAAATTGTTAGCTATGCTCTTAAAAATAAAGTATGTAAAGGTGTTTTGAACTCTTGAAACAAATGAGTTTTTTGTGGAAAAATGTCTTATTGACCAGTTCTTTTATAGGAATGTACCAAAAAAATTTTATTTTCATTTTTTGTTTGTAATTAAGGTTATAAATTATCATGCTTGATTGGAAATTAATAATTTCAAGATTAAATTGATATAAACTAAACTCAACTTCAAGTTCTGTATGTTGGTCTTGTTTTGTTTCTTTATAATAATGAAGGAGTCAAATTTAAGTATGTTATTGAATTATTAACTAAGCAAAGCATATAAAAAATTTCAAAGGGGTTTAAACTCACATAAGTAAACTATGGGGATAATAAAGCTCATGGAAAATTAAAATAATGGAGGTTTGGATTTGTGGAGATAAATGTTATGGAATATGATTATTATATGTTATTGTTTTCACTATTAAAAAAATATAAAAATAATAAAATTATCAATGAAAACTATTTTGTCGTGGTTTACTAATGAAATTTATGACATAAAATTTTCATCATTAATTTTATATTGAAACAGTCATCAAATAAAAAAACCATTAACAATTTCATTGGCCTTGATGATGTTTTAATTTACTAACAAAATTGCTAATGAAAATTTCATTAGCATTTTTAATGGGAATTATAACTCGATAATCCTCTATTTTCCTCATTTCATCCTTTTCTTTTATTTGAAAACATAGCAACCCTAACCCCTTCATCATATAAAAAATATGATAGCCTTTCTAATAGCATGATATTCATTCTCTTGATTTCGTTTCATATCAAGCTTCACCCTACCATGTAAACAAACCCACCCATTTGTATTTCAATTTATTTTATTGAAATTGCTTTGTAGCATCTGTAATTTTCTTATATATTTAATTGTTTTACTTGTTTTGTAATGATAATTTTACTATATTAATGTATGATTTGTTTATAAGGGTTTGTTTATAATTTGAAGAAATAAATTGAAATTATCACTTGATGAAATTCAGTATGATTTTATAACATAGGTGTGTTATAAATGAAATGAAGGATAATGTAATGATTACCTTCTTTTTTTTTATCAATTTTATAGTTAAGTTCAAAATTATAGAAAATTTATTTTGTGTGGAATTGATAATAATTAAAGGTATTTATTTAGGTTAAATAAGTTTGAATTGAATACTAATGTAATATGTACTATTTTTTCAAAAAAAAAATTACCAAGAAATGATGGGTAATTATTGAGAAAATTAAGAGTTCAAGTACAAAACATATCTTTTAGATTATTGGATCAATGCATGTTAGGCAATTAATGAAGCCCTAGCATACAATACAATATGGTGCATGATAAGATTGAAATGATATAAAATGATTATATATAATAAAACCATTGGTTAGTAAGTTTTCAAATGATATTGTTGTTTAATGTATGAAATCATTAAACAACAAGTTCAAGGAGTCAACATAATCCTCTAGTTGCTTAAATGCCTATGCATATATAAAGTTCTTCTTTATATGTGATATTTCGATCTATATTAACATAATGGCATGAGATTAATGGGTAATATTACTTGTGGTAATTTATCAAAGTTAGTGAAAATATAAGTGGTGTAATAAGAATGAGTATATGGTAGTAGAATATAAACTGATTTTAGAAGAAAAGGTATTGATGTGGAATAAAAAGAATATATAGGTATGAAAGGTACTTGAAAAATAGGGTAATTGAACTTAAAAATGATTTCACATTAGGTAATGAGATTGAAAAAGTTTGTGGTGGTAGTGGTGGAAAGGATTTTAAAATGGTGGAATTGGATCTTGATAGGTTAACATGTATTTTATTTTTGTTATTTGTTTTTTAGACAAATTTATATGAACTTTAAATTCTTAGAAGCGAAGAGAATTGTAGATTATACTCTACTAATTGTACTTTAATCTTATGATAATTATTATAGTGAAGAAACAATGTCACCAAATAACAAGCATTTTGATAAATTATTTTTATAATGTAATTCTGCTACCTTAAAGATTTACAACAATCAATATTAACCTAATTTAGTTTAATATTTCTATATCAAGAAGGAAAAAAAAAGAAATTCACATAACAAGAAAATATCAATTCGAGGTTATCATTTATTGTTTCATATAAATTGGATTATGAAAGATTGATATGTATTTTTCTTTTCAAAATTCACGTGTTTTTTCCTTTTAATTGCTAGAGCCTTAACTTGTTTTTGCTTTAATTTTCCTTAATTTAAGTTATTAGTCCTTGCATTCATTAAAACAAGTAAAGATGTTTTTCCATCCTCTCTCTAAACATGTTTCATGCTATATCTTTCTTGAAAATATGTTCACATGAAGTGGTGACAAAGAATTGTGGTGAAATATATGAATGGTAAGGATAGAAAATTATCATAAAACATTATGCTCAAAGATGTTAAACAACATAAAATAAGTCCTTAAAGACTTGGACTTGAATATAATATTTGTATTCAAATATTTATGCTACTTGAAGATAATTCAAGAAATATAAAAGACAAATACATTTTTAAAAGGTATATGTATCTATGAGACATCTAGGAGAATTAAAAGATATTTTTAAATTTAAAATTATTTTCAACACTCTTTTTTAATTTTAAAAGTCTCATAACTTTTGAAATTTAAATTATAATAAAGAATCATCTTGTCATGACTTACTAATGACATCTCAATGCCATCTCTTTAATCATCATTTCTTTAACCATTGTATATCTTTATATAGTTACTCTTAGTTATTTTTTTCATTTTTGTATTTGTTATTATATTTCTCTAACCAAATATATCTTTTTAAGAGTTAGCTTTTCAAGTGACTATTACATTTTGGTTCACTCTTCTTTAGATTGTTGCCTTCTTTAACATGGTTATTTGACCATTTATCTTCTTTTACAGTAAGAGTTCTTTATTCTCTTCGTATATAGTCTTTCTTGTATCACACCATCTTTTGTTTAAGACATTGTCAGTTTAAACAAAGCCTTTCTCTTTAAGGTTATTTTATCTTTCTTGATATAATGCCTTAATTTTTTGTCTTGCATTTTTTTTTATATAAAATAAAAATCAAATAAATACATTATATATGTAAATATATGTTTTCCAAAGAAGAATAATAAATAATATATAATTAAGTGGAGATCAAACCTCATTTATTTTTAATGTCATGGAATAAAAAATATGATCAATTTAAAAATGATAAATTTAAAATTTATATTTATCATGACATACTATGTAATATACCATAACAAAATTGAATTAAAGAAAGAAAATATATAATTATTCAATAACACTAAATAATTAAAAAATAATAAAATTAATTCCTTATAAATCTAACTTACAAGCCAAGATATTTAAAATTGTGTTACCAACAACGTTTTATAAAATTTTAATTGATTTTCATTGAAAATTATATTTTCAAATTATTTTAATATATTAACATTAAAAATAATTTTTTAAAACTTAAATAAAAATATTATTTTAATATATTTTAAATAAAAATATTTTGAAAAACGATCTTGGAGTAAACTTGCGCTTTGAATCAATCATAAAAGCAAACGACGCCGTTAAATCCTCGAAAGAACGCCTGCGGGGTAAACGAAGGTCTCTCTTCTTTCTTTTGGGTATCAATCAAAAACCCTTGAAACTCTCTCCCCCTCTACTAGTAACTGAAACTGCTCCTCCTGAACGTCTCCTTCTCTTAAATCTCTCTCTCTCTCTCTCTCTCTCTAACACCTTTTTTTTTTTTCCTATGAAAATGAATAGATAGTATAAAAATAAATAAATCTTCTCATCCAATGAAATACTACTCATTTTCTTCAATCTGAATATTTTTTTTGAATTTCACTTTCTCCCAGTTTATCTCCAAATGAGAAACCCTGCCGCCACCGCCACCGCCACCGCCACCGCCACCGACGACTCCAGCCACATCGAGAAGCTCTACGAGTTCGGCGAGCGACTCAATGAGTCCAAAGACAAGTCTCAGGTAAAACCCTAGTGTTTGATTTAAATTATTTTATAATTAGGTGATCTTAACAGCTTTGTCTTTTTCTTTATTTATGGTAGAATGTGAAGGATTACCAGGGGATTATGGATGCAGCAAAAACGAGCATAAAAGCGAAGCAATTGGCGGCACAGTTAATCCCGAGGTTCTTCAAGTTCTTCCCTGAGCTTTCCAGTCAAGCTGTCGAGACGCAAATCGATTTGATTGAACAAGAAGAGCTCGGGGTTAGTTTACTTCTTTTTTTTTTTTGTGTGTTAGAAACCATGTCTTTTGAACATGGTGCATTGGTGCAGGGTTTTTATATTGTGTGCTTGCTTGGAGGATTAGTATCTGGAAGTGTTTGGTTACGCATTTGTTTACAAATTGAAATTAAAGTGGATTTTAGGCTTTTGTATGGATTTAAGTGTTAATTGGTTGTGCAGGTCCGGGTGCAAGCGATTAGGGGACTGCCGCTATTTTGCAAGGATACGCCGGAGTATTTGTCAAAAATTGTGGATATTCTTGTGCAACTCCTTGCAGCTGGTAATTGGATTTTCTAAAAAAAGATTTTTGAGAAGGAACTTTTGTTGGTGTAGTAGGGATTTGACGTTGACTTCTCATTATGGTTTTAGAGGAAATTGTGGAGCGGGATGCAGTGCATAAAGCCCTTATGTCCCTGTTGAGGCAGGATGTGAAAGGTAAATCTTTAAGATGGATGAAATCATTTGGATGGATATTATATAATGTGCAAAAGAGTATATATTAACTATCTTTGAACTCTAGGATACAAATCTTTGTACAGTTCCAACTTGTCCAGAATGTCGGATGGAATTTTAGGAAAATTAGCATATGCTTGTACAAGAATTCTTCTTTTTTCATAGTGATATAGGGTGCTTTCTGTTTTCACGCAACATAAATGTAGCATGCTTTTCTGCAACTCCTTTACATTCTTAAAATTTACATAGATTAACAGTTATCATGCTTTAGACCTCTATTTCGTGTAGAGCTTTCCTTGAAGGTGGAAATGTCATGATTTTGTTTTAGGCAAATGTTGTCTTCATAGGACCGGGCAATGGTGAATAACATCTTTGAAAAGCTGCAATTGGTATTGTTTTTGCTATCTAAGTGTACATTTGTAAATTAACTTGTCAGCATCAAGTCACCAGATTCTTGAAAACTATAATTGTTTAAAAGAGAATAGTATTTCTTTCAAAGAGAAAAATCCAGTTAGAATTGTGGGCCACTTCTGAACTTTGGGGAGTTAATAATACTAACTGAAAAAAAATGGTAAAATCCATCTTGTTAATAATCAGTACATCTTAAGCTACAATTCTACATTTGGTGCACACCAGAATGAATTAGATATCGGTGAAACAGAAGGGAAAAAATCAACCTGAATTCTTAGAAGTTGGGGTTTTTAGTGATTACACAGTGGAATATTGGGAAGCATTTTTGCTAAAAGGATGAGTTTAATTTTTTCAATTACTAGTTTGGAGATATTTCATACAAAATATAGTAAATGAACTTGTTGGTAGTTTATCATGGTTTCGATTATTTGTCAATGGTTGCACCTCTTGGCAGATAAATTAATAGATTTCCACACCTTCACCTAGGAGAAAGAAATAAATAAAAAAAAGAGAGAAAAAAATGTGAACTTGTAAAAATTTTACCAGACTATTCTCAATTATGCTTGTATCAGGCACCATACATGTTTTCTAGCATGCTTTTTTTTGTAGGTTCTTTTTTTCCCTTTTGTTTTTTTTCTCAAATTTATTTATTCTTCTTGCTATGCAGCATCGTTGTCTGCCTTATTTAAGCATATTGGGACTGTTGAAGAACCAAGCACTGATGAGCTTATTCGCGAGAAAGTGCTGAGTTTTGTAAGAGATAAGGTTAGAAGTTTACATAAAGCTGTTTGTTAAGGTTATTGTTGATTTGGTTCCCTTTTGCCACTAATTGATGACTACTAACTCCATTTTCAGGTTTTCCCACTCAAAGCTGAACTCCTGAGACCTCAAGAGGAAATGGAGCGTCATATAACTGATTTGATAAAAAAGGTACTCATAACTTTACCATTTTTATTATGAGACTTCAGATTCTGCTGTTCTATTAAAGTAGGCATGACTAGTTTGAAGTTTTCCTTTTTAGAGTTCAGAAGATGTAACTGGAGCGGAGTTCAGAATGTTTATGGACTTCTTAAAAAAATTGAGCATATTTGGAGACAAAGCTCCTTCTGAACGCATGAAAGAGCTAGTTGGAATCATTGAAGGACAAGCTGATCTAGATTCGGCATTTGATGTGACTCATGTGAGTGATTGTTTGAATTCAGCTCCTAACTTTAATGCTGCATTGTGAACTATGAAACACTACAATCACTGCAAGACCTGTTGTTAATCAACAATAGAGACACTGCATTTTCTTCTAAAGTAGATTCTTTCTACCGACTTGTATGAATGTTGAGGATTAGTTATGAGTAAATAATGCCTTGTGCTATAATCCACATTTGCTAGGCTGTTTGCTATTTCTGATCTCATGCGTGTGTGGATACATAGATAAATTGCTTCTATTTTATGCAACTGTAACTTCTAACAGTTTGCTGTAAAATGCACTCATTCCCCTTGTCATGCTCCTTGTGTCAAAATTAAAGAATAGATGGGTTTGGCAATTTTATGAAATATGTTTTGACATATTAATTAGTGCTCTGAATAAGATCCATTCTACTAGAAATCTTAAGATGTGTTTACTCCATAGTTTTCTATTCTATGCTGGGAGATGCAACCCTTGCATTGGTAACTCATCTATACAGTTTAACAGAAGACTTTAGAGATGCTGGAATGTATATGCTGAATGAATAGAATACCACCTTCAGAAGCATGAGAGTATTAGGGCACATGAGCCTTGGAAGAATACTCTTGCTTTCCTTGTTAGTTAATTTTTTAAGCCTAGATATCTTGATTTGATATTCTCTAGCTGTTGTTTGATTAGCATGTGACTTTTTGATTTCTTTTTCTACAACTGTTAAGTTCAGGGCTTTCAATTAGTATAAATAACCTGGTCAGGCTGTTTGCTGAGAAGATCATTTATTTTCTTATAATAAATTCAGATTTTAGAGGTTTCTTTACAAACCGCAAACTGTGCTTTGCTCCAACTTCAGTTTCATCCATGTTTTAGCCACTCTTCTTTTGTGTTTGTTGTTTATGTTGTTTTCCCGTTTTCATCATCAATCAATCTGCTAGTTAGTTTTGTACAATGTTCATTTGTGCATGCTTGAACATGTGATCTACACATTTTTTCATGTGCTTGGTGTTTTAAACTGCAATGATTTTTTCAGAAATCCTGTTTTAAGTGGTGGTGTTGATTCTTCATGGTCTTCTGCATGCATGTTGTCATTTTGCTTCAAAATACACAATGATTGCAAATTTTGCTTTTGCTCCCTATTGTTACAATCCCCTTAAAGTGACTTGAATTGGTATCCAAACACAGGTTTCGGATACAGATCATATTGACAGATTGATATCATGCCTGTATATGGCGCTTCCATTTTTCCTGGTATGGACTGTGTTTTTCATTATTGAGATTTTGTGTATTTTGCATCTTTTCCTGACCTTACAACTTGTCCCTATTAATTTATGAACACAGAGGGGTGCATCAAGCAGCAGGTTCCTCAATTATTTGAACAAACACATCATTCCTGTTTTTGACAAGGTAGTGCACTCCCTTCTCTGTCATTAGCATCTTTAAATATCTTATTCTTGTTTACCTTTCTTTTTTTTTTTGTTTGTGCTTGCATATGCGTTTTCACAAGATCCTTTCAATTCTAATAATTTCCTCTTTGCCAGTTGCCTGAGGAGCGGAAGCTTGATTTGCTCAAAGCACTTGCAGAAATATCACCTTTTACATTACCACAGGATTCACGCCAGATTCTTCCCTCTGTTGTTCAGCTATTGAAGGTAACCTTTTCTTTTTTCATGATTAATTTAGTCCTTTGTCCTGGATGTTTACAAAAAAGGTTATTATATCAAATGCACTTCTAATGTCATATTAATGCTTGTGTGTTTGTTCTCACAGATTTTCAGTTTTATGTCCATGAGAAGGATTCATATTGAATCACATTGTTACAGCCTTTATAAAAATTCTGCATATACCAAACACTTATTTATTGCTGTAGACTGTGGTCTCACAGAGTTTTGCCTTCTCTTTTTTGCCACTCAGAAATACATGCCACGGAGGAAGAGCGGAGAAGAGATGAACTTTACATATGTTGAGTGCTTGTTATATGCGTTTCATCACTTAGCTCATAAGGTTGTAATTTCATGATTTTATATTTGCCAGCATACTCTTGCATGTATCAGCTCTGTGAGACATAATGTGATCTTTGTTATTTTAAAGGCTCCAAATGCTACAAACAGCCTGTGTGGTTACAAGATTGTGACTGGGCAGCCATCAGACCGTCTTGGGGAGGACTTCTCTGAGTATTACACAGACTTGACAGAGAGGTGACATTTTAATTCAGAAGTAGAATTCTTAACATTTGTTTTGGTATTTAATTGAGTGATTCTTGTTTCTTAACTTGAAAGGAACAAAATAGTATTTTCTGTAGTTGTATTTGTTTTGTAAATCTGGGTGCAACTTTGCTTTTTCAAAAATGTTGCAGATAGGAACTTGTGCTTTATTGCTCATTAGCTTACGCTCATATGCCACCTAAAATGACAGTGGTTCTATTTTTTAAATGCATGTTAGCCTTGGAGGAAATTTCACTAATATAAAGATAATTTTTAAGCATAAGCAATGAGTTCACTTGTTGATAAATAAAATGATAAATAATGTCCATAGCTGTGATTATTATTCCAAGGACTAATTAATGTTCTTTTCTTTGAATTAAACAATTTTCACGGTTTTGAACCAAACAAGCATTATCATTTTCTGTAGCTCTAATATTGGTCTTCCATTGACATTGTTTTTGGTGTCTGGGGTGCAGGTTGAGTGGTGTAGAAGATCTAACCAGGGCTACCATGAAAAAGTTAACTCAGGGAATGGCTGAACAGAACAAAGCAATGGCAGCTGCAAAGTCTGATGAAGCAAAGGATAGCATAGTAAGTTAATCTCTCAGGAGATGTACATCTTATGGTTTTCTGTAGAGCTTTTCATAGCAGTATCTTACAAACATGTTTCTTGTTTAATGTGTAGAAAACACAAAAACAGAATACTACAACTGGGTTGCGTACGTGCAATAACATTTTGGCAATGACAAAGGTTTAGAAATAATGAAATTTTGACAAAGTGAATTTCATGCCTATGTATTTGTAAAACATCAATAACTTCTTGTTCTACAATTTTCAGCCATTGCATTCAAAGACACCTTTGTTTATTGGAGATAAGAGTATCAACCTCTCTTGGAAAGAAGTAGCAAAACCTTCTGTGCCTTCCACTGCCGTATCAGCTGGGTATGAGATGTCTAATCCAATCCTTTTCTTTGAATATATATATATATATATTGAAAGTACATTTTGGTTACTTAGACAAGCTTAACATTTTTTTCAAATGTTTCACTGTCAACATTAAATTTGGAAATTTTGTGATTTTATTTAAGTTGCCAAGTTGTTATGATGTAGTCTTCTATTATAGACTTGGATGGAAATTTGATAGACTCGTGCTGTGTTGGATGGAAATTTAATTGCCTTATGTGCTGTGAAAACAATTGAGTATATTTGGCCCCTTTCAGTAATCAATATGAACTAATCTATATTTACGAGTACAATTATACAACTTCCTGAACTATTAGGATTAAGTTGTGGAATGTTAAGAAAATGATGGGCTAAATGTACCTCGCCCTAGAGAGTTTTGTTATTGGAATAGGCTCCTGAAACTGAGGTCAGTAGTCTTGCTGTGAGTGATGAGACAATGTCGCTCAAATTGACAAGGTTTTTGCTACTGGCATAGGCTTTTAAAACTGTGAGATTCTCTTTTTTTCCCCTTAAATTCACAATATAAGGTTAGAAGAATCTACAGAGTGATAGGATAATGTCCATGTGATTGAGGAAACTATTGGAAATGATATTTCCCCATAACAGTAAGATGAAGTAAAAGTCACTCCCATTAAATGCATAGATAGCAATGCCAGTAAATGTTATATTAGTTGAATGAACCTTTTTTCTTTCCAGTTTCTCTTTTAAAGAGCAGTTCTTGGGCTATTTTTGTGTGCAGAGGGAAACGACCTGCTGCCACTGCCAATGGTTCTGGGAACATGGAAAAAAAGGGTCGCGGGGCTGGTGGCATGCAAAATCAACTTGTTAGTAGGGCACTGGAAGGGATATCTTATGGTGGAAGGGGCAGTCCAAGGGGCAGGGGCAGGGGCAGGGGGTGGGGTGGGCGTGGAAGAGGAAGAAGCTTTCGGTAAATTTGATGCATTCCCACAATAAAAAGAAGAATGAAACGGTGATTGAGCTGCCCTAGAAGAATATCCAGCAGGAGTGGTTGATGAACTAGGATTCTTTCTCGGGAGAAATGAGATCATATATACATAGAGGGAACTGACACGTTTTCTGATTTGTTGTGGACTCACACGAACTATCGCATTCCCAATTTCCTACGAGCATGTCAATGTAGATTATTGATTTGGATACCAATTAGGGCTCTGAGGTCCCAATCCTGACAGGTTTAGCCATTAATATTGCATTGCAGGACTTCTAATTCCTTGTATTTTAGTCAGGGCGTGGTTGCATGTATTTTATGTCAGTATTTGTCAGCAGACTTGGTGACTTGTTTATTCAAATTCCTTTTGTACCTTTTGATACAGGGATGGTAGGAATATAGAGGGAAAATGGTTTATGCTCAAGGTACAAAATCAAAATGATTGATGCGAATAATCTACCACTTTAAAGATAAAGATTTGCTCATCACTTTTCTGATGTGGAGTTTTCTAATTAATGCTCAATTTTGCAACAAAACATTCCATTCTACTGCCTGAAAAAAGAGAGAAGAAAATGCAAGGATCTTATCTTAACATAACGGATAAAATAAATGTTTTTTTTACATGCTTCAAAATCACTTTTATTTATTTATAGTCTTCTTGTATTTTATTTTCTTTCTATTTTTATTCAAAAGCAATGGAAAACTTAAAAAATTAAAAAAAATTATAAAATAAAAAAAATATTTTTCTTGAATCAACCGTTATTTCTCCATCAAAATGGGGTGAATACATGTCAAGCCATGTTGATTTAAAATTATTTTGGGTTAAAATTATTATTTTCAATCAAAAATTGATCCACCAGTTTATACAGGGCAAACAATGTGAATTAGGGTACAAGATGTAACATATTAGATTTTTGATGGAAATAAACCTTGTAAGCCGATTATGGAAAAACAATCAAAGCATGATAATTTACATGATATTCTTTTATGATAGGTACTAGATTCATATCCCTAAAAGTGAAGCAATGATATAATGGATTCCAAAAATGTACTAAAGCCATGATAGTTGATTTTTAAACTGCTCTCTTTAAAATATGCAGGATTCTCTAATATTTCTTACTAAAATCCATCTGATCTAGTAGACTTATCTCATCCTATAGTTTTGTTAATTTATTAGTGTTATTTACGAGGCTATTCAGACTTTTTGTATAAGGCAACCTCAATGGCATTCAGTCTTGTACAATCTCTTTCAATCAACTACAATAACTCAAAGACTTTTATTGAAATTGAATAGGTGTAATCTCGTGTGACAACCATTTTATCACCTATAGTCATGAGATTTCAAATGCTATATTTGTTGAACTTGTATTAATGACTGTCAGATCACAATGAAAAACACACAGTAACTTGACTTTCTTTGGGTGAAAGACAACCACAAGTTTGAATAAAATTTTGCACGCCACTGGTATTCCAAATGAACTCCTTAAATAGAGTTTCTTTACGTGAACTAAGAGGCTGTTTTGATGGTAAAAAGTGTGGTGCGGCATAACTACAGTCAATGGTTATTTGGAAAATAATAAAACGCTGGTTAAAAATATGGACCCATATAATAATTGTGGCCTCACCACAGGTTCATCAAAAGCATGTTATACCTGCTCTTCATGTTTTCCTTTACCTGCTTCTCATCATCCCTTTGTTTCCATCAGTGGTTCACATTTTTTTTCCATTGACTTTTTCCCTTTTCGAAACTTGTCATTGGTTTTTGATTATCAACTTCATACTACATGCTGACAATGTTTAATGTACATTGAACTTGTTATTATTTTTTTTTTAATTTTTTAATATCAAAAATATTTTTTTAGGTCTCGTATTTTATTTGAAAAATTAATATTTAATATTATTTAATAGCACTATATAATTTATTTTATGATGTAGTAGTAATAGTTAAATCAACAATATTTAAATTAAAACTCACCAATATTAATATATATTTTTAAAAATTATTTTATAATCTAAATTTTAAAAGCATTTTTATCTATACATATTAAACTATTTTTTAACAAACCTCAATTTCAACCACAGTTTTAACAAAACATATATTTTTTCAAACTAACCTCAATTAGAAATACTTTTTATAAAATAATTTTTTTAAACCACAATCACAACAGTAACCATAATACCAAATATACCCTTAGCTATTATTATGGAGATGACTAACCACCTATGACCCAGCAACAAGACAAATTCAAAACAATAAATTAGAAAGGAACAATGCAATCTTAAGCTAAAAACTGGGATTTTTTCTCAAGACCCTGGAGGATCTTCTCGGTGTATCAATACTCCCTCCCACAAGTGGAACCTTGTCCTTAAGGTGCAATGCAGGAAATTATTGTTTGAGCAGTTGCGTATCCTCCCAGGTAGCATCTTCTGCTGGCAAACTCTTCCACTGCACCAAACTTTCCTCAATAAACTTGGTACCACGCTTTATCCATCTCGTATCGACCACTTGCTCAGGTTCAACTTGGATCTGTCTTTCGTATGAAATTGGTGGCAGGTCAACAACCGTAGGCAGAGAAGTACCCACATACTTTTTTAGGAGAGAAACATGAAACACTAGGTGAATTTTAACTTCATGTGGTAAACTGAGACGGTATGCTACCTTGCCCAATCTTTGCTCAACTGGAAATGGGTCGTAGAAACGATTAGCAAGTTTTTGATGCGAGCGTTTGAACATAGAATGTTGGCGGTAGGGGTGTAGTTTAAGTAGCACCAAATCTCCTACTTGAAACTCCACTTCTCGTCGCATTCGATCAGCCACATGCTTCATTGTAGTGGCGACAAGCTCTAGATTCATTTTCAATTGTTGTAGTACTTCATCCCAATTAAGGAGACTTTGATCGACCTCATTAACACGAGACAACCCATCTGTATAATGAAGAATTGATGGAGGGAGGCGACCATATAAGGCTTGGAATGGTGTCATCCAGTTGAGCCATGATAGGTGGTGTTATACCAATACTCGGCCTATGGCAGATAGCTATACCATTTGCAAGGTCATTGATGGTGAAACATCGCAAATACTGTTCTAGACAACGGTTCACCATCTCTGTTTGTCCATCCGTCTAAGGATGATAAGCTGAACTTAGTTCCTGACATAGTAAAAAACTCTTGCCAAAATTTGCTTACAAAAATGGGGTCTTTATCACTGACGATGGATTTTGACATTCCATGAAATTTAATAACATTTTCCACAAACTTGGCAGCAATACTTTTTGCAAAGTAAGGATAAGATAAAGCAATGAAATGGACGTACTTACTCAGTTGATCCACAATCACCATGATGTTATCTGTTGCTATCGAATTTCTGACCCATGTTTTTGATAATTTTTTTTTAAAAATAAAAATAGCAAAAAAAAAATAAAAAACCCCCAAAAATACATTTTGATATATTTGCATTGTTTTTAGCATTTTCAACGTCATCTCAGAAGAATATAAATTTTCAAAGATATTTTGAATGTGTTCAACTTTTAACGTGTTAATTTTACAATCATTGATTTTTCTTGTTAAGTCGACATTGATATTGCTTACTTTCAAAAATACAAAAAAAAAATGAGAAAAATCAAAATTACAAAAAAAAAGAAAAAAAAGAAAGGAAAAGTTGAGGGACTAGTTTGAAAACCTAACAAAACTTCTCCTATAAATACTATGCTACAGTGAAAAAAAAGGGAGAAATTTACAAGCATGGGGGTGGAGAAAAAAAATTAGGGGGAACAAAGAAAAAACCTAACCTAAACTGAAAGACACAAAAGTTGCCGCTTGCCACCCCGGCCTTGAAAGCAACCCTAAAAACCACTCTCCTTTCTCTTGGAGCCGTCGTGCTCCCTCTTAGGCCAAAGGGGCCGCAACCCTCGCCCTTTCTTGACCTGAAGGAGCCATTCCCCTCTTTTTGGAGCAAAAACAGAGAGAACTAGGGACGACCGCAAGCCTCCCTGTCCCTGTTCACAAAGGCCGGTCGTCCCCCTCTCATTTAGCAACAAAACCACATAACCTAAAGAGCCACAGCCGCCCCCGCTACCCCTCTTACTCTGGTTTTTCTACACGGACCAGCCAAGGCCGCCCCCTCACTCTTCTCTCAGCCGGTTTTTGTGACATGACTAAGAGATTGATGTCTTCTCCCAAGTGCAGGAGTGTCGAAGTAATAAATAACCCGACAAGACCGGGGTCAAACCATAGGGAGGTTAATTGTACAAATTATAAACAACAATTATAGTAACAACAACAACAACAACAACAATAAGTTAAAGAGGACTTTCAGATTGTAAGATTAATGTGAGGATTAAACAATGATAAAAACAATTGTCAAGGTTAGAGAAGCCACTAATGGTATTTCAAACAAGTATAATATAAACTCTTATTACTCAAACAGAAACCACACATAAAGGAGATTCAATAAGATTATAAATTACTAACATGATTACATTAGTCATCTTATTTGAATAATGCTAATACTTGTAAATATTGTCAGGTATACATGATTATAACTTATATTAACAAGAAGTCTAGTTCCTTTCATAGCACAAGTATAAGTTATACCATACAGTTTGTGCTATAAAAGTGCCGAACATTTGTTACACTAAGGTTATACAATATAAATCTAGATTAATCATTTAACAAGCAAAGTATTAAGAGTGAATAAGATAACAAATACAAAACATGTTAGTATCAAACATTAAAGTCCATATTAAGTTTA